CGTGAAAATTGCATGTCAATGAGGTCTTGAAACGAATCTGTGCGTTTGAAAATCTATTCATCATTGAACATCATCCCACATGCACGCCCAACGCAGTGGAGAGTAATCATGAATCATCACAAATCGTTATCTCATTCGAGATGACTACACACTGATAGAAAGATTTAAATAATTGCTGCTAACGAGGCCTTTTAACTATTACCACGATTTCTTAATAGTTAACGAGTCGTGGTGATAGTTAAGACATCTCGTTAACAACAACTAAATGCGCTGTTAACAAAAAATTAAATTTCATGGACAGTCGACCGGTAATTTTCAGCAGAGTGACATTGAGTGGGATTTAAGGCAGAAAAAATCGTGAAATTTCAGTGCCGAATTACGATGAATTTTCGATTAATTGCACTACAAAAATTCGGCTCTTATTCTAAGAACCAAACCCCTTTCCATTTTTTTCATCGCCTCCGCCACTTTTTTCTCATTTCATTACCATAATATACATTTTACAACGCACTCGATGGACAATCAACAGATGGTGAGACTCGTAAATAGATTTAATTAAAATTTCAAGATGCTGTTGGACATTTTGAGTTGAAAGGATTGATGTTGACAGGGTTTCAACGACACTCGTGAGAAATAACATCGGTTGATCCTCTGACAATTCACATCGCTTGTTTAGCCGAGTGAACGATGGCGTGTGTGCCACGTGCTCGGTTCTTCCGATTTGCCTCTTTTATTTTCTCGAGTAGTCTCTCGTGTCCCACAAAGTCCTCCCCGCCTCATCCATCTGCCCTCTTTCCTCAACATGCACTCGACCTACCTACTTGTGGTGTACCTACGTTTATACGCGCTGTGCAAGAATCTAGTCTGGCTTTTTTCTGCTTTTTTTTCTACTCTCGGCGGCTTTTCACCTCTTCTGGGGCCCTTTTGTATCAACCGACACGCAGAAATATCGCGTGACGTGCGACAGAATTTTTCACGACAACGAGGGATGGGGAGTGTATTCGAAGATTGAAACAAGTGGAAGAGGGGATTGATTGCGGAGTGCTGGCGGTTTATAGTGTTGGAAATTTTTTAAAATTTCGTGGAAAATATGGCGGTAACGGCCGAAGGCCCTCAGGCGATGGCCAGTCACAAGCGTCTTGTGACGAATTACGTGAGGAATAAAAATAAATAAATAGATATGGCGGTAATGCGCTTGAAATTTCAAGTTTTAGATAGAATTCGACGAAATTCATGAGTTTTCAGTGGAAGTGAGACGGAAAGTTCGCAACTTGATTGAATTTTCAATGGAATATGAATATTCAGAAATGAAATGACATGAATTTTCGAATTTTCCCTGAATTTTCCAATTTTTTAGAATAATTGAACTGAAAAATCGAGTATTTTATTGATTTTCGGATTATTCGAACAGAAAATCAATGGAATATTTTATTTTTCCATGACAAGATATCCTGAAATTTCAGTAGATATTATACATGATCAAAATTTCCCGGATTTGACATAGCGAAGTGCTAGACATCATGATGCCCCCAAAAAATGGGGAAGAAGGTGTCCATTTGTTATCCATATTAATTATTTTCCAAAAATCAAGCCGAAAAAATAAACAAAGCCTTGAAATATGCGGAAAAAATTAAAGTTTATTTAAAAAACAATTGAAACTAATCTTCGGAATTGAAATATTCGGATTGAAATATTTTAACTGAAAACTCGTTTTTTTCGGGAATCATCTGCTCCTTTGAAAACGCTGACGTAAAAATTAGTGCGGATTCCGGAATTAAATTGGGAACCCCCGGTTGTCTGACCCGATAGACAGAACGTTGACCAGACGCTAGTCAAAACACCGACGATGTTAAAGAGGGGCTCGAGGCATGAGGGGGTAGTCTCAAACGAAAGGATCCAATTCCTGAGCGTGATTGTCTCGACGCGTTTTATCGCTCGTGAAAACAAGCCAGTTGTCCCCAGGGACCAGCAGGGTCCCCGTTCCCCAAATTTTCTCAGTACACCTAGGCGGGAAAAGAGCTGACGCTTTTATGCTGATTGAAAAGTATTCTATTATATCCCTGTACCAATTCATCACGTTTTTCTGTGAAATTCTTTCGTGCGTGTAAGGGTAAAATAGAATAGCAGTGAAAGATAATAATTAAGGGAGGTGTTTATTCTCAATTTCCCACAAAAAAGAATGTGGAAGAATGTGAATATGTCCCAGATGTGTTTTTTTGCCGAACGAATCGTAAAATATCTTCCACAAATATTTTTTGTTTCTTCGATTACATTTCGCTTCACGATCACCTTTCATACACTGTTAAAATTTTTTGTCGGAATTTCCCGTGCCAAATTCCGGCAATTTTTATCGTCTTCGAATTTTACAGAAATTCCAGGAAATCTTGTCATTGAAGATTTATAATTTCGTGGGAAAATAAAACAGAACTGTAAATTTCCGTTCCATTTTTCCCTGAAAATGAATAGAAAACCAGAAAATTCTGGTAAATATATTCTTAAATTTTCAGGGCAGTGGCACTGAATGCGATTTTGAGAGAAAAAAATCATGAAGTTTCAGATTTCACCGACAATTCAATGCAATTTGACACTGAATATTCATATTCAATTGGAAATTCAAATAAATTAAGGAATTCTGGTCTTTATGCCGCTCAAAATTCTGGGATTTTACTGAATTCTCAGTGAAATTTCATGCTTATTTTCCCTAAATCACATTCAGTGTTACTGTCCTGAAAATTGGTAGTAAACTCTCCCTAAAATTTAATTTTTCTTCTAACACTACACTAAAATTCGCCACGATTTTCTATGTAATTTTTATCCGCCTTTCCTCTCCGTCTTGTTAACAATGAACAAATCATTCCATCAGTGTACCGACCTGTCTACATTTCATTCTCTCCCTGCACCGCAATTCTATTTCCCATTTTCTGCATTCTCTTTGCGAGCATAATTACAATTTGAGTCTCCCCTTTATTTCGCGTGTTAGCAAGGGATGTACTCCAGGGTGTGCTACTCTGATAATCCTCAAGTCTCTGAGGAGCAACAAAAAAATAACACAAACTTTACCGCTGGGAGATAATCCCGGGGTAGAAAAAGTTGAAGTAGCAAAAATTCCGGATAATGAAGCGTATTTCCACCTCAGTGGAAAATCCCCGGCAAGGTATAGGCATCTATTGCGTAACCGCATCTTCAGGCGACCAGAACATAATCCACCTTGGTGAGAATACGAAACACGATATGTGAAAGCGACTAAACCAACTTACTGTGACAGTTTGTACCTCTGTTTGGTTATTGCAACGAGTATGTGGGTGATACCAAATCCCCTTGTAACTCTGATCATATCCGTGGGTTTCGAATTATTGTCCGAGGATTCCAGAGGTGCTGTCAAATTTTCCAGCTAACAGCTGTTGTTTCATTCTCTTTGAAATGTTGATATCCCATTTCTGGGGCAATTTGAGTAGTTTTATGACGACTTGACACTGTTTGGAAATTCCACGTATTTCTAATTTACATCATTCATTCAATAATGAGTAGGAGGCATGTCGTGACGAAAGGAATTACCTTAATTACGAGAATAATAGTTTTGTGATGACGATGCGTTCGCCGAATGTTTAATGATCTTGGGATTTTTAATTGGACGAGGTGGAGAGAATTCGTTCCATCTTTATCACTTGGGAAAAATTACTTTTTTAAAGTGGTTTAGGAATTTTCGCGGGGATCATTTTTGCATGCATCAATGTGTATTTTTTACCGAAAAAATCGTTAAATGGGGTAACCAAACCAATAGGTAGACACCGACCAAACGATTTCAACTTTTTTTAGTATTCTATAAAAAATGTAACAGAAATTGTCTTACAAATTTCCATTTTTGATAATAAAAATACGATAATATACGATGATTTTTATATTTTTTATTGATGAACATTTTGAACGTAAAGAGAACAAATTCTCGCGAGGTACAGTATTGGCTCTCAGTGGCGTATCTGTTCGATTATTATTATCGAAAAGGATCATTCTTTATTTTTAAACATGCAGAAGGATGAATTTGTTTGAATAGTCAGTCGTCTATCTATTGGGTGTTTGGACTGTATTCCACTTTTTCGTCATTTTATCATTTACTCCTTCATTGTTTCCACTTCAAATCATTATTTTCCCATAATTCATGTATTTTTTCAGGTATCGAATCCATCGTTGCCATATTTACGTGATTTATCAATTTTTGATCTCATGACGGACCTCAAATTTTCCTTAACCGTCTATCTGTTGGTCTGGTTATCCTATCCTCCACAAACAGGAAATTTTTCATTGTAAAATTTGCCACGATTTTCTAGGTAATTTTTATCCAACTTTTCTCTCCGCGCAATAAATCCCCAGATCCTTGAGTCAGAAAATTATCCCGTATACTTCCATCCTTCAAAACCCTCGACTAAATTCATCATAAATATTTCACGTATCACCACAAAACCAGAAACCGCATTATCTCCGGCCCGTGACCTTGGACGGTGTATCTTCCTGCATGCACTGGGGAAATAACCTTTTAATCTGAGAATATTTATTCTCATTGCGTGGGATTTTCATGCCTCGACATTTCTCATTTTCCTTGTGGTTTTCTCTCCCTTGAAATGACTCACTTCCGTTGATACCCCTGAGATAAAATATTTAATTGCATCTCTCTCGGTTTTTCTTTCATTTGTATGGAACTTGAACGACTGAATGAGATGAAGACAGGAAATTTTATTTGTTCATAACGCAAGTTGATTAAATATCTCAGACGCGAGAAGAATTACGCGAGAATTACATTCAAAAATATATTTGCCGAATTTTTCCTGATTTCTATAAATTTTCAGGGAATAATTGAACTGAAATTTACAATTCTTATTGATTTTTCCATGAAATTTTGAATTTTTAATGACAAAATTCCTAAAAATTTCAGTGGAACTGAAATGTGATGAACATTGTTGAAAAATTTACCGGAAATTTCACTTCTGTCCATTAAATGATTGCAGAATGTACGTCGGTTTGATCGTCTTCGTAGCAGTGTTGATAGCTTCGCAGACATTGGCCGAAGAGTCCAAGTTTAACGATGTACCGTCGGAAAAACGTGCCCCCATGGGATTCCAAGGCATGCGTGGGAAGAAGGACGCAGAGAATGTACTGGAGAGCGACGATTTCTCCAAAAGGGCACCTATGGGTTTCCAGGTATGATTTTTCTCCTTCCCCCAAAGTACAATCTCTTTTTGTTTTCCAATTCCAAGTTTAGGAGCTAAATTAGTAATTGCTCATTCATCACAGTCGTTCTAAATATTGCTCACGAATTAATAATTAATCACAGGATAGCGGGGGCGCGTCCGTTAAATTAAAATTTGAAACATTAATTTTTAAATTGAAATAAAAACTTCGAGTACTGATTTGCGAGTGAGTAATTGCTAGTCTTTTTCTTGACGAGTCTTTCCTCATCTTCGCCGCAAGCATTGATAATTCCGTGGATATATTGCCCTTGTCCTTGCCGAAAATTGTGGGAGACCCTCGAGTCTGATATTGTCAACAGGGTATGAGAGGGAAGAAAGATCCAGCGGGACCCGATCTGATCGACAATATAATTCAAGATGACTTTGAAAAGCGAGCGCTGATGGGCTTCCAAGGAATGAGGGGGAAGAAGGATCCACTCACATTATCAGACATTAAGGAAGCTCTTTACCATGAAGAATACGATAAGCGAGCGCCAATGGGATTTCAGGGAATGCGAGGAAAGAAGGCGTCAGAAGAAGTAAGCCTCCTTTTATTAATGAACAAACAACTTTCTGCAGATAGCGGTTACCGAATGTCGAAAAAAAGTTGAGAAATTGATGTTTTTTTTAGTACATTCGTTGATCTGTGCCAAGAGAATGGGTGAAACACAAGAATTATTGTGAGAAATGCAATTTAACATAACTTTATGGGAAAGACGAATGGAGTTGTGATGATATGTTTCGCTAGGGGGCAGAATAGCTGAGTGAATCAGTGCTGCCAACACATACGCTCATAAGCTAGAAAAATGAGCAAAAGCTTGCAATATGTGCCAAAAAATAGAAAAGTTATTAGAAAAATATTTTACACGAACATTTTCGAAATAGATTGAATTTTTTGAATTGAAACATAATTTTTTTCCGTCCCACCTCGCCATGAACACCTCAAATAAATTCAGATGATATCGATATTCTCAAGTCGAGAAGCCAAAAATTCTTGATTTAACAAAGAATAAAAAACAACGAAATCAAAAATACTTTTTCAAAAATAGTAGACTTGTTTCCAGAATGCCTAGTCATCGAATTCACGCCATTACGATTTTTCGGGTATCAGGATTTCTTCTGACATTACAAGATTGAGTTTCTCGATAAAAAAAGTGTTTTACGACTATCATAATGTATAACCAACTTATCACCGTAATATCTCGACCTGCCAGGGATTCCTGTTCCCTTCATTGAACTCAGCCTGGGACTGAGGAAAACGGCGGAAAATCTGTGTTTTTGTGGGTGCCCTCACCCCTCAATGTCGTTGACACGCAAGCTTCGTCCACCCTTCCCCCATCACGTATCCACCCTTTCGCCCTAATGTCCTTATTCGTGAGCATGAATGTCTCTCCGTTACACAGAATGATAATATTCTCAACTCCAAAATATTACCTGTTTCGTTTAATAATTATTTGGGAATAATATTTATACACTCAAAAAAAATCGCACGTTGATAATAAGGCTCAAACATTTGATAACAAATTTTATTGGTAAAAATAAATATTATTCTTCTAAAAAGAACGATATCTTCATTTAAAAAAATCAAACAAAAAAATTATAATATCTTGAAATATTTCATTACATTAATTTGTTCTATAGAATATTTTCCATTGAACATATCGAATCGGCGAAAAATTGATAGAAAGTTCAATAGAAATCCAATATGAAATTTCTATATTTCATCTATGTCAATATTTCCAAAAGGAGTTGCAGTTCCTGGACAATATAAAACGTGCGAGCATGGGATTCCACGGTATGCGTGGGAAGAAACTGTACGCGGATGATTACGAGGACGAATACGAGAAGCGAGCATTGGCGATGGGTTTTCAGGGGATGCGAGGAAAACGCGATGAGTACGAAGGAGAGTGGGAGAAGCGAGCACCCAGAGTATTCCAGGGCTTCCAGGGTATGAGAGGCAAGAAGAGCTTTCTGGAGGAGTTGGAGGAGATGGAGAAGAGGGCCATCATGGGGTTTCAGGTAACACTGCGTCAACTGCTTTCAACCGCACGCAACACAAACACCAGTGATATTTCCATTATTTACGGAGCGTATCTCCAACCTGTTGCATAATGGATAGCTTTCGAGTCGGGAATAATCGGATGTCTTGTTTTCCGTCATATTCATGGGGTAGTTCATTAAAAATAGGTATCGTTATGGCAGGAAATTTCCAAAAAATCATTTTGGAGGAGTCGCTTTACGGTGGACACTTTCGTTTTTCGCGATTATCTCGGAAACTATGAGAGATAGAGCCTTAAAACCTATTCCATTCGATTCCTGAGGAAATTTGGGTTCC